CTCGAGGAGAGGAGAGGAGACTCGAGGAGAGGAGAGGAGACTCGAGGAGAGGAGACTCGAGGAGAGGAGACTCGAGGAGAGGAGACTCGAGGAGAGGAGAGGAGACTCGAGGAGAGGAGACTCGAGGAGAGGAGACTCGAGGAGAGGAGACTCGAGGAGACTCGAGGAGACTCGAGGAGACTCGAGGAGAGGAGTGGAGAGGAGAGGAGAGGAGAGGAGAGGAGAGGAGAGGAGAGGATGGGTCAGGAACAGGACAGGAGAATTACTGGAGTCAGTAAGGAACACTGGGGCTGCAAGAAAGGGTCTGACCTGATGCCCCCTCATGTTTTTCAGATACGCTCACATGTGCATTTTAGAGACCTCTGCCAGCGCACTGAAGCCAATGAATGCTGCCCAAGCTGGTCCCTGGGGAACTACATTGCTGTCCTGTACAACAGGTCTTCGTGTCTGGAGATAACCCAAGGAGACATCTCCCACACCCTGGCCCTGCTCCGTGCCTGTGCTCCAGACTACCACCGAGGTGTCCTCACTCCATCCTGCATAGGCCCCGAGGCTGTCAGACAGAAACACTCGCAGTGTGCCCAAGTCCCAGAAAAATGCACCCGCTTCAACGCCATCTACCAGCTGCTTCACTTCTTGGTCGACAGGGACTTTCTCAGTCCCCAGACGATGGAGTACCAAGTGCCCTCTCTCAAATACAGCCTGCTTTTCCTGCCTACAAGGAAAGGTGCATCTATGATGGGGATCTACTTAGACAACCTTGAAACCTGGGATCTGTTTGATAACTACACATCTATCACTGGAATGGACTTGGGCCTTAAACAGAAGCTATTCCACCACTACCTTTTACTGGATACTAAGTATCCAGTCCTGGCAATATTAGCTATTTTTCTAAGCATTTCTTTTTATTTACGTTCACTGTTTATTACCTTGATGGTCCTGCTTGCTGTTGTCAGCTCTTTGATGATCTCCTACTTCTTGTACAAGGTGGCCTTCAGATTCACCTATTTCCCTTTTGTCAACTTGACAGCAGTCATTGTTCTCAGCAGCATTTGTGCCAACCACACTTTCGTCTTCTTCGACCTGTGGAACCTCAGCAAGAGCCAGAACCCTTCTGCCGGGCTTGCTCAGTGGGTGAGTCAAACCATGCACCATTTTGCCTATCTCATGCTGGCCTCGTGCTTCACGACTGGTGCTGCCTTCTACGCCAGCTACATCAGCAACATCACAGCCATCCGCTGCTTCGCTGTCTACATGGGCACCTCAGTGCTGGTGAACCTGGTTTTCATGATGACCTGGCTGCCCTCTTCGGCCGTGCTGTACGAGCGCTACATCGCAACGACCTGCATTTACAAGCCAGAAGCCTACTGGAACAACAGCAACCACAAGAGAGTCGCTCTCTCCGTTCATTACGTCCTCCGGGCTCTCCAGAACACACTGTCTGAAACCTCCAAGCTGCTCTTTGAAAAGCTTCTGCCTTGTGGAGTCATCAAGTTTCGGTACATCTGGATATGCTGGTTTGCTGCCCTAGCCATAGGAGGTGCCTACATTTCCTGTTCCAACCCCAAACTCAAACTCCCAACTCTGGAGACATCATCGGTCCAAGTGTTCAGGCTGAGCCACCCCTTTGAGAGGTACGATTCCGAGTACTGCCATCAGTTCATGTTTGAGAGGCTGGAGCGTGGAGAAGGCCAGCGCATGCCTGTCATCATAGTCTGGGGCATTCTGCCCGTGGATAATGGGGACCATTTCAATCCAAAAAGCAACGGCACCCTAGTGACAGACACCACCTTCACCATCCAAAACCCTGATGCCCAGAAGTGGCTTCTTGAATTCTGCCAAAAAGTGAAGAACAAAACTTTTTATTATCCTGATTCAGAACAGAAATCTACTGTGTGCTTCATGGAGGAGTTCCTCAGGTGGATGGACAGTCGCCAGTGCTCCCAGCGAGACCACAGCTTCAACCTTTGCTGTAACCAGTTCTCCTTCCCTTACAGAAGTGAAGTCTTCCTGCACTGCATCAAAATGATGCTCCTGGAAGAGGGCAGGGAAGGGGCAGAAATGTACGATCTGGGCCTCAGGTTTGATGGGGAGGGAAATGTCGCTGCCTTAGTGCTGCAGTTTCAAACTATTTATCACTATACCTTCAACTACAGCAGAGCCAAACAATTCTATGAGGAAATCAGCCTCTGGATAACAGAGGAAATGAAAACTGCCCCCATGGGGCTTCAGAACGGATGGTTTACCAGTAAACTAGAGCTGTACAACCTCCAGCACAGTCTCAGCACAGAAACCATGGTGGTCATGGGGCTCTCCATAGCCATTTCCTTCGTGGTGCTGCTGCTCACGACCTGGAATGTTCTCCTTAGTGTTTTCTCAGTTACTGCCATTGCAGGCACCGTCCTGGTAACCGTTGGCCTTTTGGTCCTCTTGGAGTGGCAGCTCAATGCAGTGGAGTCTCTCTTCATTTCAGCTGCAGTAGGTCTCTCTGTTGACTTCACTGTCAACTACTGCATCTCCTATCACCTGTGTCCCCATTCTGACCGCCTGAGCCGAGTGGCCTTTTCCCTGAAGCAGATGAGCTGTGCCACAGCCATGGCAGCTTCTGCTCTCTTCTCTGCAGGGGTCATTATGTTGCCTGCCACTGTCCTGGCGTACAGGAAGCTGGGGATATTCATCATGATGATCAATTGTATCAGCTGTGGGTTTGCCAGCCTCTTCTTCCAGTCGCTCTGCTGTTTCTTTGGCCCAGAGAAGAATTGTGGGCAGATCCTTTGGCCTTGTGCCCACACCATGAAAGACTATTCTGATGACTCTGGACCAAATGGAAACTTTGCCTGTGGGGGCAGCGAGAAGCAAAACCGGTTGCGGAAGGTCCAGGAGTCCAACACTGCAAACGAGCAATACGAGCTCCAGCCCTTGTCCAGGAAACTCAGCGACAGTTTTGACAACAGCACTTCCACAAGCAAGCTGTCCAACCGGCCCTCTGTGCTCTCTGAAGACATACAAGTTGAAGACAGCAGATGCCCTCGCGTGGGAATGCACCCCTCCCTGGAAAGAGAGAGACAGAGCCTGCAGGATGCCCTCGGAGACCAGCAGGTCAGCCTGTGCCAGTGTCCCGCCTTGCAAACTTCCTCTCCTTACAAGCACAGCACCTCAGAAACAGAAATTCACAGGGAGAGACTCTGCCGAGATTGTCGCTGTCGAAAGTACGGTCTGAAAGCATGGGATGGGTCTGGGCTGGACCACATCCAGCCGGCTGGCGTGAAAGAAGAAGGGCAGCTCAATAAATCCCAGTGCTCCAGTGACACTGCCCAGCAGCAGTCAGATTATACCTCAGACCACAGCCCTCTCCCTGCTGCTGACATCTACAAAATTCACAGATGCCTTTGTTCTCTTGGCAGCTCTTTCGATATGCTCAACATCTCCAGCGAGACATCAATCAGTGATTTTGAGCAAGGCCTGAAGCTTGCTGAATCAGCCAGTTCCTGTCCCGATGCCTTAGAGCTGTCTGACTCCTACGGTAACGTGGAGCGAGGTTACCTGAACGGGAAGAGAGATACCCTGCGGCTGGACCTGAGGGAGACTGTCTTTGATGTCTCTCCAGCTGCATCACAGCAGAACAGCTCTTCATGGAAAAATCGGTTTGGATTGGGGAACGAAGGGCCGGTCGTGCTGCCCAACAGCCAGCCAGACATGCCTGATGTTTGGATCAAACGATCCAGTGCACAAAGTTCCGGTTACAACAGCTGAGACCTTGCGGAAAGCAAAGCTGCTGCTAGGGAAAAGGGAAGTCTGAATGTCCTTAGAGCTGTAAATATCAATTTTTTCCTCCCACTTCGCCTAGAGCTGAGACTGAGACTATTTCTTAATATTTCAGCTGTGCAAAACGTGTGTTTTTACAGGAATCAGCAGATCTGATGCCAGTGAGAGGACGTGGGAGCCATCGTGATGGACTACAAGCCCCTTGACTTCCAGTATCTGGTGCCATGTTCACAGCTGTTCACAGGACTTACTGAGTAAACCTGGTTTGTCATTTCCTACAAGGTGATTAGGTTTTGTTTGCTGGAAAGAAATAATGAGGTGAAGCTCCCCAGGTATTTAATGACAGAGTGCTAATGTAAAAAAAAAAAAAAAAAAAAAAAATTAAAAAAAATCCAAAACTGAGCTACTGAAAATCTAGGTATCAAGTGAAGTGTATTGTGAATAATAAAAATTAAAGTATTTAATTTTCTACTTTATGCAAAGCCCAGATACACAGACCCCACCAAAATAGCTCAGATATTATAAAAAGTCCCGTCAAGACTTCTGAGTTGACACAGCCTCTTCCTGACCATGGAAGAGTCTGCAGAATCCAGCCCAAATCTATTTCCAGTAACAATTTCAGTTTGTTTTATCTGAAGGAATTCTAATACTGCCAAAGATTTTCAGTGTGAATCTCCCCCTTGAGAAAAGAGTCCTCGTCCCCCCTGGACTCAGGTGCCTTGTTGTGTCCTCTTTACAGTGTGTTTCCACTCAAGGCATCCCCCTCAAATATGTCACTTTTTAAAATTCACATATCTGTTGAATGTTGAATTTTAGGGTTTTTCCCCCTCTGCCAGAAACAAACAGGAAAACAAACATTTATTTGCCCTGATTTGTTGAAAAAATAAAACACTCTAGTTACAAGTTGATGTACAATAAATGCTTGTTAACAACCTTTCCTAAAATCTATGTGATGCTTCATTTTCACCAAGAGCACTGTGGTTATTAATCTTTTAAGTGCCTAATACATTTTCCAAAGGTAAGAATACATCTTTAAAATACTTATTCTTCTGATATCCACGAGTTGTCCCTGCACTGTGGGAGAGAGACAGCAACTCCCTAAAGCTAATACCAGAGTTTGAAATATGTCAGATATGTCAGGTGTGTGATTCTGTATTTATTTCATGTTTCAGTTTCAGGGTTTTATCCTGAAATTGTCATGGTTAGTGTTCAGGTGGGTATTTAGGCAGCCAAAGCCACCCTCAGGCTGGAACTGCAGCATCCTCCTCAAGGAGATGCTCCTCGTTGCTATCGGGAGAGATTGCCCAGCCATCAAGATATCCATGTAGCAAGCAGTGTAAAAATGTCTTTAAGCTGGGAAACGCTTTATACAGATGCCTCATTTGATGAGGCAATTTTCGTACCTCACACACCAGCAGCACCAGCGCCCTGACAGCTTTTGTGTCCTACACGACTGCATAGACGGCCACAAACCCTTTGATCTTTGGGCCTCGAGTGCCCAAATGGGAGGGAGGGGAGAGGAGGGGAGGGGGAGACGAGGGGAAGGGAGACGAGGGGAAGGGAGACGAGGGGAAGGGAGACGAGGGGAAGGGAGACGAGGGGAAGGGAGGGAAGGAAGAGAAGGAAGAGAAGG